AGGAAGACAGTGAAAACTGTGGAAATCCTTAGTAGTAGTATTGTAGTAGTTGCTGAGTCCATAGAACCGCCAACCACAATTGGATATGTGGTACTGCCTCTCATAAAATAGATTGAAGTAGTCTTCCTTTTACAAATAAAACTTACTCTTTTTGTATTAAAAATTGCATTATACGGCATATCTTCTTCTATGTGCTTATTCTGTTTAATCGAATGTTAACAATCATTCTGGGATGATAACTTTTTTGTTGCTGCTCTGAATAGTCCTGTGGTCCCGTAGGTTATTTAGCCCGGATATTCGTCTTCTATCGACATATCTCTTACCCTTAACTTTTCCTGCAGAATCCATTTTAATAATTTATGTTTGGTTTCATTTCTCATTATGTGACCCAAATATTCCATTTTACTATGCACATTATTTCTCTTTCGTTGTTAAGTTTTGGAGTACTCTTATGTTTAATATTTGTCCATCCATAAAATTTTAAAAATTTTTCTATAAGTCCACATCTCGAATGCTTCCAGCCTCTTTATTATTTCCTCAGTCTAGGTTCAAGACCCTACTCCGTGTAGTAAGATGGAGAATATCTATCATCGTAACATTCTGAGTTTCAAATTCATTTCATTCATTACATTCATCAAATGTATTTTAGATAATTTGAACATTTGGATCTGACTTTTTCAATTCTTGATTTAATTTCCTGCAAATGGTTCCACTATTCATTTCATACTGTACCCGGATATGTGCATGTTGACACTCGTTCTACCATTTTCTCCTTGATGGTAAATTATACTTTTTCTCCAATCTGTTGGCTTCTGCTAATTATTATACCTTTTGTTTTCTTGGTGTTAACTTCTAGGTCTGATTTCTTACTAATTTCAGCCGCTTTGTTCAGTAAAAGCTGTAATCCTTGAGCATTGTTAGCAAAAATGAATGTGTCATCACGCATAATTTGAAATTGTATACCTCGTTTCTACATTTAAGGTTGATACTGCACCCTCGATTAATTTGTTTCTGATCCTAGAGGCTCTACTGCGCATGCACTACTGTGGTAAATTTTTTTAACTTATTGTAGATTTCTACCATGACGACTCTGTAATATTTTCAAATCCTACATAAATTGCAGTTTTCTGTCATTATATCAATTGGCTGAGTTGCCAAGTTTGTGTAGACAGTAATTTTATCAAATCAATATGCTATAACTTATATGGTTACTAGTAGACCAACTAAGCAAAGATATCTTATATAACAACATTTGTGTATTAATAATACTTTACTGTTCTGCTATTCAGTCGGAATAAAATACACCAAATTCATTCATTATCTAAACAATTTTACCGACAAAGAAATTATGTAATGTTGCGGCTTACTTTATCAATATCATATTACCATTAAACTCGTACATCATATTATATTACATTTTTGTTGATAGTTAAAAATTAAATGATCTGGTATTATGATTATGTAATATTTTAGTGGGAAATAACAAAAATGTTATTAAATCTAATTACCTATCTCAGTCTTTATGAATTAATAAATTTTACTATGTCTTCTTCTTCGGTTATATTTATATTTCTTATTTATGCTTCATTGTTCTGGCTTTATTGGTCTGTTTATTCTTATAATTTTTCTTTTAACAATTCTTACTTTTTCATCATCTTTTTTCGTAAGACACATTACTTCCGCCACTTATGCTATCATCGGTCTAATCGCTGTGTCTATGTATTTTTGTCTTTGTTTTTTTTTGCTGTTTTTTTTATTTTTAAGTAGTGGGTGATATTTTCCAAAACACACCCGTTTTTTCTCCCGCCTTATGTGCGTGTTAGTCATACGTTGGATGTATATTTGGAGTGGTTGATGCGTATTTAGTTATTACGGTTCTATTTGGTCTATTTAGTTCTTCAGTTTCCGTATTCGACAATTTTATAACGCCAAATGAGGACTATGTGAAAGGTGTCATTGCGTATGTGTTTATTGATTTTTACTAAGTGCTTGGAATTAAGTTTGCTTTTGAGTATTATCCAGATTTACCCATACGGCTCACACTCCCTCTATGGAAAATATCGAGGAAAATTCACTTCATTCCAGATACCTACGGTATCAAAAGGATTGAGCTTTGGTGGGACTCTTTCTGTGTTATTGAGCCCTAGGTGACTTAGTGTACAGGAGTATCTCCCGAAAATTTTCGTACATATCTGGACGTCGCGAGGACTACAGCTTTATATATGGCCTTATAAAGATGTTCATTTAGACCTAGCGTTTTATGTTCGCTAGGTGATTTTTTGGAATAACACGAGTAACATGAGTATATTATCCAGATTCAGCCTACGGCTCACACTCCCTCTAAGGGGAAAATTCACTCATCCCAGATCCTACGGTATCAAAAGGATTGAGCTCTGGTGGGACTCTTTTCATTTAACGAGTCCTAGGTGACTTGGTACGTCGGTGTATCTCCTAAAAATTTTCGCACGCATCTGGACGTCGAAAGTAGCAACAGCTTTCTGCATGACCTGTTCGTGATCCGATCCCTAGAGAAATCCTAACATCGAACGTTCCATGGCTCTTTGGGTAACACAAATTTTATTTGTTACTTTCTAGGTTAATGTTAATGTATCTGCACCATATGTAAGTACTGGCAACACACGCACAGATTAAAGAAGACAGAAGACATTGAATATGAATCGGTAAATTGCATGACATACAACTAAGGAATTTTTATTGTTAACAATCGACAACTTACAATTTGGACATTTGTTCATCTTTTATTGAGTTGCTGAAACATGACTAGCCCAATATTTTTATTGCTGCTAATGACTTTTTCACATTTCGGCTCTATAAGCTACAGGTAAAAGTAACGACTAATAGCAGACAATAATTATTGAATTTTTTTAACACTTAATATTTAAACAGTTAGTAGTAAATAATTGAAAAAACCATACACCCTTTAACTCTAATATAGCGTTTGTTATCACTTACCACTTTTTGAATATTTTAAAATTAATTAAGCCACTCTTTTTATGTGAATTTTACGCAGCAACATAAACACCGACCAGATTCGATCTCCTTTTGAATCATATCCTAATATTAAATTAAAACCAAACTAAAAACCTACACACATATTTATATCATTAGAACCGTAATTGAAAATTCCTATAAAATGTTAAAATGATATATACAAAGAGTAGAATAATACAGATTTCTCTAGAAGTGACAAATTAATATTTAGACAGTTGTATTACTTATTGGCTATTATGCCTAAATTATTTCTTGCGAAAGTTGAAGAAAATAAAAGAAGATAAACTTTCATAATCTTAGCAAGAGAGGATCACTTTTTAAATTTTATTAGTTCTAGTTAACCGTTATAACAATTAAAGTACTGGGACATTCAACAGAGCAGTCCAAAAAAAAATTATCTTTGGGTGAGAGATAACATTGTTAAACAGTAGTTATCTCAGCCAGAAACTGATAACACTAAAACTAACGCTAATACTAAAATAAAATTTACCACTAATACGTTATGCAAGGAACACTATTGTTTATAAATACTAAAATAATTTACTAAAAACCCCTAAATAGGGTTTTTAAAAACTAAATAAAGTTTTTTATAGATATATTACTTATAGAGTGTAAAATTTATGATATCCTACTTTCAAAATAAAAGTTGCAGTATCTACTATTCTGTAACTCTGTAAGTTTTAGCATGACCAGTTCAAAATTCAAACCGATAACATTCCTACTAAGTTTTGTTATAATCTTGCCAAATTGTTGTAACAAAGTAAATGATAGGGCAACCCTGTTACTATGTCGTTTCGTTTGAAGCGTTTTCGCGGCCGAACGTAATGCCATCTAACGATGATAAATACTACCACTTTTCAGATGGAGCCATCTCCCTACATTACACATTTGCAGGGCGGCGGTTCAAGACATAATTCTTGTTTAACGAGATTTTTCATATGTTTAGGAAAAAATATTTAAAGTTTTATTGCAAATATTTTCCCACTTTTACAGTTTTATATATGTATTGTTATTTAAAAAAATTTTTGGTATTCTTACCGGAAGCTTTATTATAAGCAGAAACATATTATTTTTTCCTATTGGGACAAAACTGTAAATTCAAAAATTTTCAAAAAATTTCCAAGTATTTTCTTTATAATTTATATCTTGATGCTTGTAAAAAAATGAAACAAAATTAGATATGTCTGGTTTTTCCCGCTTTATACTTGGAAAAAAGTATGTTTTTTTGAGTTTTTTTTTTTAAACGAAAACATGAAGTTTGCTTAAAAGTTTGTCAAAATACTTCTAGTCATCTCATAACACCTTCTCAAATTTTTTCAAATTTTTTGAATTTGGAATTTATTTTTTGGGGGGCGCAGATCAACCTTAATAGTACTTAGTAGTAGTAGTACTGCAGTATTACTGCTTAACATTAAGCAATAGTATTACTGCTTCCGTGTATTCTAGGACTTAATAAAAAATTTCTTCTGACTATATGTTGAATATGAGAGGTGCCAATATACATCATTGTGAAACACCTCGCAGAGTTTAACTTCTATGTTTTCCCGTTGTTGACTTTAACAAAAGCGGATCGATTCCAGGATAAATATCAGATTATACGGAGGTCCTTGCTGTAAATCCTACTATCTTGCAGGACTTCCATTATTGTGTTGTGTTAAATTTTGTCAAATGCCTTTTGATAGTCAATGAAGCAGGTATATTAATTACAGTTCATGTCTCTACATCTTTGCAATATCACTTTTATGCTAAATAGGGCATCTTTTGTTTCCAGACCTTTAGTAAAACCAAATTGTGTTGGTGATACTTGTTTTTCGCTGCAAATATTGTAGAGTATAAAATTTAACATAGCCATTGGTTATATCTATCTCCCAACAATTAAGGAACTCGATATTATACAATTGTCCGTTAGTCTTAAGTTATGCTAATGCAACTAACTCTGCATGATTTGATTAATTATTAATTTTTTACACATACTGCATTTTTTGTAGGACCGGACAGACAGTATGTATTCATGGTTCCCAAGGAAGGTATGAAAATGCTGAACATAAGTCTTCTAGACAAATTACCAAAGTTTATTAATTCATTTCATGGAAGACCGCTTGTGTTCCTAAACTCTGTAGCAGGGGAGAGCCCTACGACTCTCACGATTACATTTGATATGGAAGTCCCAGAAAATTATGAAGGTCCTACTATAGATGTGGCGATCAGTTCTATATTTGTCCATTCAAAGTTAGCAGTTAAAACACCGTACTACCAACAGTTCCTTCAACAGTTTCCAGATTGGGCTGATCTAACAGCGTGGATAGGTTCCTATGCAGCTTATGTTGCTTAATATAAATGTATATGAAGTATAGTCTATCTTCCGTAATTTTTATATCTCAGGCTATTAAATTACCGAATTATTTGCTTTTATAATTTTCGTACACTGTTAAGAGTTATTGTATAGCAAACTAATAATCATTTTATGTCTTAACACCTAGCGGCACTTTCTATATCAGTGTGGGAGTGCATTAACATGGTCTTCTATGTTTTTTTTTATTTTAGTTGGATATATTATTTACAATTAGACATTACGTCATTTGGCTAAAAAACTTGACCTCTCTGACAAGGGACGGTATGCACAGAATCGGCATTATTGACATTCGTAATCATCATCTAGGGAACACCTAGGCACAATCATAAGAGAGTAATATTACATCTATGTGCGGCATTAAGACAACTCTAAATTGCTATGGCACTATCTCAGACAGAAATAATAGTCCTAGAACTGTATTTTTAACTCTACGTGATAGCCATACTATAAATCTATATCAATATTCGTACTGTTTATCGATGAAGGTAAATGCCGTATGCAAATAAATCATGCAATCCCAATTTTACATAATTGTCTTCTTAATCGTGAAATGCATATCGTACCATCTGCTGAAGAAAGTGCATGCTGAAGACTTTATTAATAAGGATTAGACAAAAAAGTTCGTATATACTATAGAAGTAATGTTCGCTTGAATTTAGCATACACTTTCGATTAATCAATTTTAAAATTGGTAAATGACAAGGTAGGCTGCTTTTCTTCGCTTCACTGCTTGCAGCAGTTCTCTGTCTCCCCCTATTCGGCGTTAGTTATATGATCCGTCCAGGAAGTTTAAAGAATTCTCCTGAACACCCACATTTCGAAGGCCTCAAGGCAATTCATGACGTTAGCTTTTATTGTCCAAGTCTCCACCCCATGCAGCACTGAGTAAATATAGCATTTCACAAAGTACTGTGCTGTTAAATTAAGACTCTTGTTGCTAAGCAGAGCTCTAATATTCATAAATGCTGCTCTTGCCTGTTAAATTATGTTCCGTATCTATGTAGCTGGTTCAAGGCCCTTAGTTATCGAGCTTTCGAGATATCTGAACTTGGGAGACTTGGCGAATATTATTACCGTTCACATTTGGAAATCAAATGTATATTCAGTGTTTTGCTAACCACCATACCTTCGTTTTATCTGTGTTAATTTTTAAACCAAATTGTCCCCTTCATTATTTAATCTGTCGATAAAACGTTGTAGTGCTTTCTGACTGCCGGTTATTATTACTGCGTCATCGCCATAGTGAAGGTTATTAACAACCTACCCATTATTATTTATGCCATCTGTCTCTCAGGCTCTTTCAAAAATTGCTTCAGAGTAAAGATTGAATAGTAGGTGAGACAACCGCAATTCTATCTTACGTCTTTATCTATTGGTAACGATGTCCTACACTTTTTCTCTATTGGTGTAGTTTCCCACTTTTACAGAAGATGCTATTTCACTTAAGTAGAGGTTCTTAATGAGTCTTAAGTCATTCTAGCTTGTGCCAGTTTTATTAGCTCTGTAAGTTTTACACAGTCAAAACGCTTTCTGGTAATCAGTGAAGCATGGAAAAACGTCTTTGCGCTGGTATCTGCATTTTTGAATAGTCAAGCTGAGAGTGCTTCACTTATTGCCTGAATCCAAACTGAATAGGATAAAAGTGTCTTTCACATCTGTTATAAACTCTTGTATTTACTGTCTTTAACAACAGTTTTAGAACCTGATTAAGTAATAAAAATGGTATACTGGAGCTAGTCGTGCAATATTTTTCCGTCTCATAGATGTTATGGAAGATTTCTACCAGTGCATCCATATTCGCGTCATTTGGTAGTTTTATAACTTCTAATTGCAAAATTTACAAAGAACTTCAGCATCTGATTAATAGGATTACGATAGCGTGTGGTGAATATGGACTGATCTAAACACCACAAAGACAAAGGTAATGGTTGTCGGTAAAACGCCAATACAACCAGAAGTGGTAACAGCTTATAGAGAACAAGTGGAGAGAATCAACAGTATTACTTATCTTGGTTGCAATCTAAATGAGAACTGGGACACAAGCAAAGAAATTAGAATACGTATAGAGAAGGCCAGAGTTGCTTTTTTTAAGATTAAGAAAATCTTATGTGAAACCATATTACTTTGAGACTGAGAATTAGATTAATACAATGTTATGTGTTCTCTATACTTGTATATGGTTTCGAAGGTTGGGCTTTAACAGATACACTTCTAAGAAAACTTGAGGCCCTTGAAATATGGGTGTATCGGAGAATTATGTTTAAGTAAACAATGTTATTTATCTTTAAAATTTGTTTCTAATAACAAACTATATAATAATTCCCGATTATAATACCTGAGATATAAAAGTGTTCCTTTGTAATATTAATTATTAACTTAATCTTATGTGCAATATCTTATTTATGACTTAAACTATTGTTTTGAATAGGCTTGAAATGTACTTTTTATTTTTAAGTTTTGAAACCAACGCTACTAACGAGAGGTGCTCACACTTAGCAAAAATTACACTTCGTAAATACGCCACTGAAGAATGCCAAGCTTCCGATAATTTCGTTCGTCTGAGCAGTCCCGTAACTCGAGAAGACAATACGTCAGTTTGCCTTTTCTATTTTTGTAGTAAAAATTATTCGATCCGTATTGTTTTCTGATGGAATAATTGCAAATACTTACTAAATGTGTCAATAGATGTAAATGTAAAAAACAATGAAGACTCCATGCAACTTTTATTATATTATTCGGATAAAGTTTTATCCAAGTTTATCCAAAAGTATCGTATATTTATGGTTTGTGAACAATATCTAGTGACCAGCTAACTCAGGATCTTGTAAATACGATATAGATCTTTACTACAACTCTCCTGTGATACTCTGATGATGCTATTTTGCTCATCTAAACAACTTGACCTTTTAAGATTCGATCGCTGGTTCTATCTCTAATATAGTCAATAGTTTGTTGATAAAATTCGTTTCAAATAACAAATGGATTTAACCTACAAAGTTTTAAAATTAAATTCTACAAACAAACCTTAAATCCCGCTTAAAAATGATAACAATTGTTCTTAAAAATTTAATTCCCAAAGTTGTAAGGACACGTTGGTTTTAACTCAACATCACCAAGCAGTAAATTTAGTGATTAAGCTTACACATTTCAGATCACTTCTGCTAAGAATTAATTACGAACCGGTGTTTTGGTGAGAGTAAATTTATTGTAAATCTCGGGATTCAAGTTTCACATACATTGCTGCTCTTCCTCCATCTAGTTCGTAATCAGTCCACCGATAAAAGTATCAGGTACAACCAGTGGCGGATCTAGACATTAAAAAGACATAAAAAAGATAAACCCAAACTACATAAAAGACATAGATAATAGGTTTTCGTTCATTTTGAGACCTCCTTGATCTCAATTCCCAAAATTCCCCATTTTCTCTCCCTGTGTATCCGCCACTGCAACACAACACGGCTGGATCTTATGATCCTTTCTTTTCTACCATAAGAGTATCTAATATTAGGTTTGAAGTTAGGGTGAAACATGAAAAATCCTAAGCACTAACTGACTACATGAGCAAATATAAATGTTTATGCCTCTTTTTGGCATCATGAGGTCAGAGAACGTGTGAATATATTTCAGAATACACAATACACATGTTATTTCTAACCTCATTCTAAACCCGTCATAATGCTTTGTGACAGTCTACTTTTTCTGTACATGAATAAGAGAGTGGTTGTCAAGTAAGACCTTTGTCTCGGCAGTGAGTGTAATACTTCATCGCTCGCTCCAGTGGTATTTAAAACATGATGTAAGACTTCCAGATCAGTTTTTTATCAGTACTATTTCTAAACATTTACATTATGAAGCGTACTCCTGGTATTTTTCTGGTATCCCAGAACATGCTAGTTTCAGAAGTGGAATATAAACAATAGATCATATATTTATAATAACTCAAATAATAGTAAAAAACTAGCACATGGCTAAGAAGTACATCCTCTATTTGTTATATAAAAAAAATATGCGACAATAAGGATTTTAATAAACTGTGGGAGATGCAAAAGCAACTAATATTAATAATGATTTTAGAAAGACTGTCAGAGCGTTGTTGACTCAAGACTAACATAGAGCAGGCAAATAATATAATTTGTTGATATAAAAAATGTCTTATTATTAATCAAATTTTGAGAACGATTTCCGAAGTGGAAATTGAAACGTCAATAAACGTATTTTTACTTTTAATTGTGGCTTATTCCCAGTTAAATAGTAATTAATTTAAAATGCCACAAGAAAATAGCTTCAGAACAATATAAGGCTTATAGATCAGATGTGTATGTGGTCATTAAAAGACAGACGAACAAAACCGCTAAGAAATTTTTCAGTAGAAGCCACTGAAATTTGTTGTTGGAGAAATGTAGCAGGAAGGACAAAAGTAGAGAAAAAGTCGCAAGTATCAGAACAAATTATATAAGTAAAGTGCACAATAATAGATGACATAATGTGACAAAGAACATGTAAGGTTCAATCACGTACAAAAAATGGGAAGTGCAAGAAAGGGGTGAAGAAAAAAGACTTTTTAAATATGTAGTATGAAGAAATGAAATAATTCCTAAGACATTATACAATTAACATTATTTTTATACATCAGTTGAACAAAAAAGTTTGTATTTGCCTACTTCTTACTGTTGTGATCCATTATATTTGAATTATTGATTTGATCAATTAGACAATTTTAGTTCGCATATTTCTTAATGCAAATAAGATTTCTATACAATTGGTTAACCGATTGGTTTAGGTGAGCTACTTTAGAATTGTTTTAGGGAAATTAGTTTCACGGAAACAAGAGCAAAAACTTAAAGATTTATTATTGGATAAAATTGTTACAATTTCTGTTATTGATGTGATGTACAGGTCTCAAATATTATAATTTTTGAATTGAATTCCATACTTAGCTAAAGTTTATTTTATAAATAAAACACTAATAACTACTTATAATAGGTCACAGAATAATAAACAATCAGAATGCCCACTCTCCATGGAAAATTAAGTACTCGCATCTCGTTCGCGCAGACGTT